GATGTATTTAAAATGTTACCTTTACATAGCCTTGAATGGTAAAAATTAAATGAAAAAAAAATCCCCAACCAGATACATTATTGGTTTCATCTCACTATAGAAAATAATTGGTTCATTTTTATATGCTCATTATTATTTTTATGCCCGAGATTTGTAAGTGCATTTTTGTTTTTGGTAATTTTCCGTAATGCCTTCTTTATCCTTCTGAATATTATTTATGCTATTAAAAAAGGAAACAGCCTACCATAAGTGTTTGTCACAGGTAGGCTCTCGGGAAGAAGAAACGTTCGCTGATTCATGTACCAATTTATTGGATGTATACGATGTAATATAATACAATATTTGTAGATTAATATAATCATATATTTAATGAATCTTAAGTTAACTAGGTGAACCAATAAGCATAGTTGATAATTAAGAAAAAAAATAAAAGGGTTGAGACGTGAGTTTCGAACTCGAGACTCTCGGACGTTAATCCAGCATCAAGCACGTGTGCTATCGAGTCATTGTGGTATATTATTTAGCAAACTTATATTTGTGTAGTTACCCACGTTCGAGAGTTTTTGTTTAAGTTTTATTTGGTCACTCTATTATTTACAAAGCTTCATATGGATATTAAGGGAATTAACATCGGCAAAATTTACTACCTTATTACTACGGTTTATGTAATATGCAGTAAGAAAGGGTGGATTCAAGTCTCCCTATTTGAGTGTTCACCCGGTTTAAAATCGTGGATCTCGAGGAACACACGAATTCATTCGACCAATCAAAAACGTGGAACTAGTTCGAGAGTCTCGTTCAGGTGGCGCGTCGACGCGCCAAAACACAGCTCCAGATTATCACGCGTAGTATTACTATATATACACGACCAATCAAAAACGTGGAACTGCTTCGAGGGCCCTCCGCTAAGGTGGCGCGCCGAAACCAGAGAAAAATTGCCTTCACCAAAAACAGGCTCATTGGCAATCTCCCTACTCATCTCTGGTATCTTACTCAATTACATGCAGATAAACAGAGACACTACGATGATACTCTTAGTGTTATTGGCCTAGTGCAAGCAGGCCTTGCGAGCTGGCTCGCGACGTCATCTACGCTCCGTTTAAACGCGTTCTGATTGGTCGCATTACTGCAACTTCAACCTTGATTATCTCGAAATTTTGATATATGAAATAAAAAATGAAAATACACGTATTCATTAGAATTTGACAAGGAATGCAACGGTGTTACTACAGTGCGTTTCATAACGAACACCCTGTATATCGCACCATGAGGTTCAACTACATTATTCGGACGACAATGAACAATGTGTCGTTTCAAATCGTTGCGCATTTCCCAAGTATTGTTGACACGTCTACAATAGGCTACATAATGTCCTGGCAATCTTGCGATAATACCAGACAGCCGTTACTGATTTATATAAAAGCTATCAAAAGTATGAGGCTGCCGTCACATGGAGTGTACTTTGCGTACGCGTCACTTGCACCAGCAAATCACGGATCGTTGTTAGTTTTCCAATAGATAATAGAACAGAATTACGGGTTCGCGATTGGCTGTGCAAGTTATGCGATACGCAAAGTGCGCTCCATGGGGACTCATCCTGACCATCGAGGGACTAGTTGAAAAAAATTCCTTAGTCAAATTTGTTAGTATAAATTTATATAAACAAATAACCGTCAAACGTTTAAAATAGTCCATCATTCACCAACAAACGACCAACAAACGGTAGCGACAAAAATTAATTCGATCGGTCGTGATGAGGGGCTAACTATATGGAGCTTAAGGAAAGGAAGGAAAAGGAAGAAGCCTGAAAGCCGATTTTTCTGATTGGCTGATGCAGTGTGTTGAGATGCTGAAACGTGAGCGTAGAAATGAGACTTTAAAAAATACACCGAGTAAATGACGCAATCGTTGATTGGAAATTACTTATGGTTGCTTATGGTGGAAAGTTGACCGTGTATTTGGCTTTATTTATCATTTTATCTGTCATTTTCGGAGGTCATTAAGCATTGAATTCGTTATTGGTGATCTTCAAGATGGATAGTAACAAAGATGAGGCAGAACGCTGCATGGAATTCGCTGATCGTTTTATTCGGGAGAAAAAGTATAATGATGCTGAGAAATTTGTTCGTAAGGCTCAGAAACTTTATCCTACGAAAAAAGTAGAAGGCAAGTCATTATTTCAAAGTTTGCATGATTAATTTCTTAGGTTTACGAACAGGTAATTAATGAAATAAATTTTACCTCGATTTGGTTGGAATAATATTAGGTCAAAAATAGGGTTACCTTATTTTTTGAATGCCCACAGAAACGTTAATTGAAAATGTATAGGAATAAACTAAATTTAATGTTACTGAAACAATAATTAAAAATATAAACAGTTGTATTAATACAAGTTTCATAATTATAGATATTCTGACAAAATTAGCAATGCTTTCAAAACCAAATCAGAAAACTGAGGCTGAACCAGATATTAAAAAACGGCAAAGTATCAGTAGAGAAGGTAATCAAGGTGTACCTGCTGGTACTGATTTCACTAAGGAGCAGATTGATTCAGTTAAGAGGTATGTACATAATCGAAGCTTTTTAATTGACAAATATAGAATGATTCAAGATAAACATTGGTTCTTTAGAATACATTCTGGTACAACTGTGTTGTGCTGTGTTCATACATATGAGCATAAGTTTTTTACAGAAGTACAAGCAATTTTATAGTTGGTTTACGAGTTTAATGTATCTTTTCAACAGATTATAAAAATGGAATCTTTAAAAAGTCTCGTGGGGCTCTGCATATAATTTTTGATACAAAGTATGCATGCGCATGATTTTGCACTAAAATATATTTTATTTTTCTATTTTAATATAATTCTGTGATTTTGTTGAAATCCATTTATAATTTTTTAAGGATTGTATTATTATTCACTAACTATTAAAAAACACATTGAACTCATGGACCAACTTACATGATATAAAAACTTTTCTGTAACAGAAACATGTGATTTTCACTTTTTTTTTCAGAATTAGAAAATGCAAAGATTATTATGAAATTTTAGGAGTTAATAAGGAAGCAGCTGATAGTGATATTAAAAAAGCATATAAAAAATTAGCTCTACAATTACATCCTGATAAAAATAAAGCACCAGGTGCTGCTGAAGCGTTTAAAGGTGATATAACATTTTACATATTTGAAAAAAAAAAGTATTTTTGATTAAGCCTTTTAAACGCTGTGTATTTAGCTATCGGGAATGCAGTTGCTATTCTTACTGATGTTGAGAAACGAAAACAATATGATTTATATGGCTCTGAAGAGGAAAGGATGCAAAGTGCACATTCGCGACAAGCTCATGCTCACTATGATTACACTCGTGGTTATGAAGGTAACTAAAAATAGTTTTACTGAAAATAAAAGTTGTCGATAGGAAATATTAATAGTTATGAATCACTAACAACTGTTGGAAAAGATGTGAATGATAAAATTTGTTACAGCTGACATAACGGCAGAAGAGTTGTTTAATATGTTCTTTGGTGGTGGAATTCCCCAACAAAGTTTTTATATGCGACGTGCTGGGGGCAGGTGGATGAGGCAACCTGATGGGCAAACCCAACATGCTCATTCCCAGGTATTATTAACTTTTAGAGGAGACAGATTTTGTAACGACTATAGTTTTTGACTTGGAATTTTAATCCTATCCTGGTTGATCTTGAATCCCTATTCCTTATTGAGGTGGCGAGCGATGGGGGGTGGGGGGAGCAGTGAGCACGCATGCCAGTTCCGTATTTATTGAGAAATTGCAAGTAAAAACTGTGACGTGATTTTTTGATTCACGGTCACAAGGCGATTCCGGCTATAGATTCAGATAAAGTTCCCACTTTCTAATTCCCTTCGAGTCGCCACCCTGCTCAGAAGCTACGCTCTCAGGTTGATTCGCATAGTTACGTCAATGCTCTCGAAAGATTCATTGTCGATGCTCTGGGGAAGCGACCGTGGAGGATCTCCAAAAGCTACATACCGATTCGCTAAGGAACGCTCTCGATTTGGTTTAAAGGGACGGCTCGGAGGAAAGGAAGAGTTATCAGCTATAAGAATTTCGACCAATCAAAAAGATTAGCTCTCGAATTTGACTCTAGCTGTGTTTCCGATACGGTATAGAAGGCTCTCGCCTGTGTAATTCTCGCGTTACTTTCGCGATATCCAGGAAATTCTATGAATTTTCTGTGTGTGTTCCGGAGGTGTAGTGCTAGTGCAGTACCCCCCCTAAGTGTCCTCTGGACACAGTTCTCGGCCTTGACAGATTAACTGTACCAGCTCCGGTGAGGACTTCCAATTTATTAATTGGTGAAAGGATTTCGATTGATAGTTCAGATTCGACCTGTTGCGTTCTCGATTCGTCGCTCTCTGTCTCTCGCACTATTTGCCTGACGCTTACTCCGACCTTCTCTACCTCAACCTAAGAGCCTGAGCGGCCGTGCATTTCCGTAACTGTCCGCTCCCGTTCATGCATTAGGTTGCGTTTGCTGATTTTATGAGACCCTAAAGATCAGCACCTACGGTTGCGTTACTCGATTTCACGTGCCGCCAATAATCCACAGTATCCATTAAGTTATCGTATCTTCAGATAGGTTCCGTTAGAGCTCTCGTTTTGGCGGAGTTGGTCCTGTTCCATCCCAACTCCGAGGTCATACTGGCTTGTCAGTTCCCGGTGATAAAAGACTTGGCTGCCGCCCGCCTGGCTTGCAGATGTATGAGTGAAGGATGGACGGCCGAAGGTAACGTAGGTTAGATCTCGAAGATAGTCAGTTCTCCGATTTTTCATTATCGATGTCGAATTAAGAAAATACGATATAAAACATACTCACCCTAATCTCGTAAGCCTGGGTCAATCGTGTCCGAGATATTTACAACGGATTTTCTCCTGGGCGAACCAGAAACAATAGAAGGGCCTCTCTCACCCTTAAAAAAAATTAGAGTCGAGGGTATGTTCAGTGTTACGTAGGCCGTAGTGGCTAGCGAGGCCTTTAAATTTGATAACAAAAATTTAGAAGTAACCAAAAAAAAAGAAACGACCGGAGGTAACGTGAATAATGTTTGAGTGAATTCCGAGCGGTAAGAATGCACTCAATGGTGGGTTCGCTGCTCGTTTAAGGTGTTGAAACACGCCTTGCTATTCCAACGTGGGCAGATATTCTCTGAAATGTTGAGGATGGGTAAGAGATATTTAAAAACGTGAGTAAAATGTGAGTTTACCATATATTGTTACAACCAATTTAAAAGTTTTCTATTAATTGTCGTGTACAGTGTTTCTATTATGAGAAATATCGGATAACAAAACCTAACTGTGTGTGAGGTTAAGGCAAGATGAAATTTAGTGGAACAGAAATCTATCAAAACTATGCGATATTCGGAAAGAGTAGTCTATGCAGCTCTATTTTGCCCGGTAACCGATCCAGCTTGTTCCCTAGGGTATGTAATAACGAATCCGTACCTAGGCCAGATTGCGAATACTACACTGAATCTAATACTCTAACGGTTAGAGCCACGAGTGACAACGTGCACTCCGATCTTTTACGCGTGAAATTGAATGATTTTCTCAGCGTCTGTGCCATGATTTTGGCTGCTTATATAGTCGATTTTCGCTGATGCTCTAGGTACGGTTAGGACGTTAGGAATGCACTCGGCTAACCAGCTGGGTAAGTGGCACGGGCAATGCACTGGGTAACGTGCTGAGTCTGCAATTATGCTTCCCGTCAGCTACCTTATTCTTCTGTTTAGGAATGAAGGTCGATATACGTAACACCGTTTACTCGAAGTATCTCTTACACCCGTCTTTCGACTCAAATATCTTATGAACGGCTGTATGCGAGTAAAAGTTATTGATACATCCACTATAGGAATCGAGGGTTCTGAATTAATTGCCATCAAAATCAACGAGACTGATGTACGAGATCAGGCCGTATTGAGATAGCGCGCGAGATAATTTTATTTTCGTTCCGTCGTTGTTGTCGTCGTTGCACGTCCATTCACTTTCTCACACGACGGATGGCCACGGCTGCTTTGCCTTCATTACCTATGTGTACTCTGGATAAAGTTGGTAATTTACGAATACACAACACAATTAACTGCATTTTGTACATGAAGCTACCGTTAGATAGAAATTTCATTATCCTAACTGAGTTGATTTCGAAATGCTGAGGTGAAAATATTTTGAGTGGATGTGAAAGATCCATCTTTACGATTTTCGTTAGAGTTTTGTATAAATGAAATTTTTGTTCTTCATAAAAATAAATTTTTAGGATTTTTTTGAGCTTATAAAGCGTAACTTTAATTTTAAATAAAAGTAACTATTGTTTTAGACTAAAATATGGCAGGAAGGTTTAGCGATTACGTTCACAGGAGTCTTCGCCAGCGAGAACCTGTGAATTATTTTGAATTGAAAATCAATTAAAATTAATATACAGGATGTCCCAGAATTACCTTAACACCGGAACGTGGGTGATGGCTGGAGGTTTCCCGAGTGCCGTCCCTCAAAGCGTTTGTAAAAATTCGCAATAGTTTTGAAATGGGACGCATTTAAGATGCACGAACGAAGGATTTTCACGGGTCATAGTTGCGTGGTGGGAAGTACAGTCGTGGACGGCAAAAGTTAGCTACTACAGACAGATGGCGTGATTCACCATTGTTTGACGATCCGAACGCCGGGCGCTTTCGTTGATAGACTGTGAATATTGGCCGAAATGCCTTAGCTTGATGTATTCATCTCACGCGCAACGCGCGATTGTTAGTTGTTTCAAGAGAGGAAAACAGATTATTAAAGAGAGAGGGGGAGAGATAGAGAGAGAGGGGGAGAGAGAGAGAGAGAGAGAGAGAGAGAGAGAGAGAGAGAGAGAGTTCCAGAAGTTTATCCGCGGATACTAAGAAAGATTTTTGAAAAGTCATTATACGGGTAAGAGGAAGGTATAGTGTATATGTCCGAAAGGCATTCCGTCGTCCCGCAGTATTAGGCTTGAGTCGAAGTTGATCAGCAAAGAGACCCGAGATTCCTAGGCACAAGGCTTTATAAAATAGACAGCCTGAGAAATAGCGTCGACGGTTGCTCTGCTGCAGCCATTCAAGCCTTCTGTGGTGAGAGATGTGCGCGGATCGCAACATGCGGCAGTAAAAATCTAACGCAGTTATTAAGTGAGATAAGCAATTTTTTTTCGAAGTCGTCTGATAAGTTAGTAAACGCTACTGAGCAATAATCAGAGATTGGGAAGACCAGGGCGCTGATAAGTCTGCATTTTAGTGTGTGATTTATATCATTTCCCATCATTCGAAGGCGTTATAATGCCCCTGTAGACTTTCTGCAGACAGTTGATACCGGGTGATACCCAGTTGTGCACAAACCCAATTGGACACAAATGCGAATTTCTGTCTCCTGAGCGATATCCCATCAATAATTCAACAATATTGCAAGTCATCTTTATCTGGCGGAATCTTTTCAAACATCTAATGCTCTCTTCAGTCGATATACTTATCCAGTAACCTACCCAGTCCCCAAAATTTGAACATTCCACCCTATCCTAGCCTTACCTAATCAAACCTAGCATAAACTAATATTAAACCACATAGAATATACTACAATAAGATATCGTTTGTACTTAATTCTCTTATATCTGTTTAAAAGTGGACAGAATTTGCAGTGAAAAGTCATTTGTGTTCAAGTGGTCTGTGCGCCAGTGAACCCCCCCCCCCCCCCC